ATACTGTCCAGCAGAAGTAACGCAGCAATTGCAACTGCTACATGAAGCCGCTACGTAGCGCTACGTAGCGCTAGCTTCGGCTAAACACACCCAATGGCTGCGTTCGGAGAGCACGCTATCAGCGCTATTGCGTCATTCTATCTTTGTTTTACATCTACTGAGCAATAAAGATAGAATGATGCAATAGCGCTGATAGCGCGCTCTCCGAACGCACCCAATGGGTGCGTTCAGACAACTCAACGGTTGAGAGATCATCACTTATGATAGGACTATTCTTCAAAATCTAAAGTGGATCCAAAAGTATGGTCCAATCAGAAGTAAGTATCTCTCAACCGTTGTGCAACTGTTGAGTTGTCTGAACGCACCAAATCACTTCTGATTGGATCATACTTTTGTCTGAACGCACCCAAATATGGCTCTGGGTGCGTTCAGACAACTCAACAGTTGCATAACGGTTGAAAGATGATCACTTCTGATTGGATCATACTTTTGTCTGAACGCACCCAAATATGGCTCTGGGTGCGTTCAGACAACTCAACAGTTGCACAACGGTTGAGAGATAATCTCTTCTGATTGGATCATACTTTTGGAACCGCATCAGATTTTGAAGAATAGTTCTATCATAAGTGACAATCTCTCAACCGTTGAGTTGTCTGAACGCACCCTCTGTTCCAAATTTACTGCCAGCGCTAGCAGCACTTGCAACTTTTTTTTTTTTTTATTTTTTTTTATTAGAGTAAAAGATGGCCTTAAGGACGGTGCTTAATTGGCCGTATGATTCAACAACTATGACTACGTTTACACGTGCTGGTAAAACCGTTTTAATAAAAACCGTTTTAGATGTCTTTAGTACAAAACCGGACTTAGATGTCCTGTAAGGCCTGGTTTATACGGGCAATAAGGCCTGGTTTATGCGAGCAACATAGAGCTTATACTCTTTTTTTTTTTTTTTTTTTTTTTTTTATTGGAGAATAAAGGTACATGCCACAAGTGCTAGCAGAGAGAAACCTGAGGGCGATGTTCCATTGAGCGGAAATCTATAGCGGAACGGAATGTGCGGAACCAGCTCGACCAATCGTAACCATAGAAAAAGCGAAGGAAAGAAAACGGAATGGCTATGATTGGTCAAGCTGGTTCCGCACATTCCGTTCCGCTATATATTTCCGCTCAATGCATATATGTAATACTTCTATATTGCTCGTTTGGCTTGGAAAGTTCCGAAAACATTACGGTGCAGACGATATATCGTTCTCTCACTCTGTCAGAAGAATCGTGTGTTTTGCGCATGCACTGAATCGAGGGAGTGGGGGTCAGTCATTCTACCTCAGAATCTAG